TAAAGGAAACAAAATATACGTAAAGTGGTTGGGATTTCCATCTCGGTTCAACTCTTGGGTATAGTAAAAACGAGCTACACAAACTAACTAGGACGTCTGACGGGATCAAGATTTATGTCAAACGCCTTGGTTTTCCCTCAGTGGGTTTAAATAGGCTAATATCATGTTCGTTTCACCATTTTGGTTTGGATATTGTTATGATAAACATATATTGTACAAGCTATGATCAGAAGACACGTTATAGACAAGTTTGGACACTCTTTGTATCAAGAACAGAAGCGTCACTTATCTGATGATGAAGATGACGATGCGTATGTGTTGAGTGATGATGGAACCAAGAGGTTCAGAGCTGCAGTGGATCCTGACGTATCACGTCAAAAAGTGTCTAAAGGTTATCTAAATCGTTTCTATGTGAACAAAGACGATTTGAAAGAGGTAGAAGGAAAGTTAAAGACATTTGCTGTTAGCCTCGAAGAGCTAAATCAAGCAGTTAAGGATGTAAAAAAATCAATAGTCTCCATAGAGGAATCTATTAAGACCGACCTAAACGACATAAAGGAAAAACAGGTATCATATCACGATAGACTAAACAACTTACAAGAATCGGATAAGAAATCATCTAAATTAATTACAGCGTTGGATGATAAGCTCAAGACGCTACAAGACTCGGATGAAAAAACGTCTACATCTTTAGTATCTTTGGATGATAAGCTCAAGAAGCTGAAAGACTCAGATGAGAAAACGTCTACACGTTTGATATCTTTGGATAAAAAAATCAAAAAGCTACATGAATCAGACGAGAAAACTTCTGCATCGTTAGTATCTTTGGATGATAAGCTCAGGAAACTACAAGACTCGGATGAAAAAACGTCTGCATCTTTAGTATCTTTGGATAAAAAAATCAAAAAGCTACATGAATCAGACGGGAAAACATCTGAATCGTTGGTATCTTTAGAAGAAGAGATAAAGAAACTGCAAGAATCAGATGAGAAAACATCAAAATTATTAGGAACCTATGATAGAAGGATAAACACGTTGGATGAATCAGATGTCAAAACTTTAAAATTGCTTACAAATATTGATGCAAAGCTCACTGTATTACTTACGACACCAAAATTATCTCTCTCTTAAAATATCCGCGCGCGCGCGCGACCTGTCTAGACTTGTTTTCAGTTCAGTGGATTTATCCTTGACGCCATCTGCATCGCAAGGTCGATGATCGTACCTGTCCAGACCTGCACTCCGTATAAAACCTAGAACTGGTTTGCTGGTTTAGCCAGTATGGAAGCGTCAGTGAAGCGGTCGGCACCAGTTCCGCGTAAAGATCTTTCGCGAGTGAAACGTAAACGTACTAAAGCTCCGCCTGCTTTACCAGTGCATAATGTAATATACTCCGATGTAAATACTATGGACATTGACCAGCTTCTTGCATCTTTAACTGGTGAGACTCTACAAGACGTATCTGATTCCGTACACACAACAGCAGGTGCGGTCGAAACAAATTACTATACCCGCGAGTGCAGTCAAAATGTCAACGCAGTGGAAGAGGATTACGGTGCAAAGGATGTGGAAGAGTACCGGCCGGAACAACCGTCAATTCAGAAAACACCATCCAACTCGTCAACAACAAAATCTACCACACGTGCTAGGTCGAGCCAGGTTTTTCGCCAGAAAGATCATCAAGGTAATCTACATGCCTCAATTTTGCCACAACTGCCGCCGCCGCCGCCGCCGCCCCCTCAACATTCGCAACAACTATTACCATCAGCAGCTAAGTTATCTTCATTACCAGCCTCAACGTCGTCTTCAGTGTCATATACGTCTTCGCCGTCAGCACCGACAACATCTGTGGTGAGTCACTCTCATAGTATACACCAGCCACACAAAGCAGCTGTGCGTTCTGATCAGCAGCCTAACTCATGGGAACCACATCTTTTACTTAGTCAGATTTATAAAGTTGCAAACCAGGCTCATGCAGCTGTTGGTCTCGATTCAATTAAAGACTTTTCTCCCTCTATTTGTTTGGTAAATAATCAAACCTCAATTGAATTGACATTTGAAGATCTTTTGAGTCTGCAAAGCTCTACAGTTCACCACTCTATCGACAAGTTTTACTCCGATGAAACTCCATTCAATCCGTTCTATCTACATACAGTCATATTAGAACAAAGACCAAATGGATTAGTATCATTTTGTAACTATCGTCTGAGAAACAAGCCGGTTAATCACGATTTGAATTCCGTTACACTTTCAAGACCTTCAAGTGAATCTGATATCATTCGACAGACTCCCAGAGTGGTTCTTCAAAATGATGGATGGATCTCTTTAAAACGGTTGTTCCCATCCCTTGAGAGCTACTTTAATATCCTACTTGAAATAAACCCAACTGTGCAGTTTCTGATCTCTCGTTACACACGGTATTTTACCAAACACTATAAGGTAATGGCTCTACTTTCTTCAAACACTACAAATGACTTAGCTTCAATGTCATTGGACAAACAACTCGTTCGCCACATTACAAGTGATTTGCCACGATTACTTTCTGACTTGAATGAAAGAATGTTGCCTGCAGAGACTCAAGATTTTTGGTATGAACGGACGGCACTTAGAACATCGATGTTGCCGTGGATTGATAGCGAGGTTCGACGATTCTGTGTAGCAAACATTATAGAGGCTGTATTAGAGAACATGAAGTATTTGTCAAAATGGTAAATATATAATTGGTGTATTGAATGTATCTTATTGTAATATATATTTTTACTGTAAACTTTTGCTCCTTTATTTATCTCCTTTACCTTTAGCTAAGGTACAACAACAATATAATAGATGTCAATTTACTTGATGAGTCAGGTATACAGTGGTAAAACACTCATTGATTTTGTTAACAAAGATTACTTTACTTGAACAGCTGGTCAAGATCTAATTATTTATGACACAAGACGTAAGCCTGTGTTGTCAAGACCCACTTAGTAAGGTGTATTAAAGTACAAGAGAATTCTTTTCTTCTTTTTTATTTGAAATATTAGTTCAGATGTATATATACAAAGGTCATATACAGTTGACAGAACCAACAGTTCAACATAGTTGCAATATTCAATACAAGATGATAAAAGCAAAAAGAAGTTTAAAAAATAAATACTGAACGATCACAAGTATAGAGTATGTTTGACTCTAAATAACCATAGTTTACACATTTAAATATTCTAGTTAATCCGTTTAATTTTAAATAAATACATAGAAAACAAAGTTGAACACAAAACATAGTTACAATATTCAATAAAACATTAGATGATAAAACAAGAAAAGACATAACAACTACAATATATGGACTATGTTGAGTCAATTTTACACAAAGCACATGAAAAAATTCAATTGTTAATCTGTTATATTTTACACAGAACATAAAGTTGACAGGGTATTTAAAACATACAATATTCAAGTTAATCTTTACAAAAATACTTAGAATACAAAATTAATAAAAAAAATTTAAACCCTCAGAGAAGACAAACATCGATCCACAGGTTGTCAACCGTGTAATCATAAATCTAATAAGGTCTGTAAATTTCAACTCGCTCGAAAGAGTCGACAATTGATTCGTCACCATCACTGTCGTTGTCCCAGTCGTGTACATGGGTATGTTCTGTACATGAATCCAAACTGTACAACTGGAACAACGGTGATAGTACGCAATAATCGCACCAACTGCTTTCTTGCCTTAGAATATCTCTTACGAACCCACTGGGATCGACACCAAAGTGATGTACTGTACTAAAGAATCGCCAATTCAAGGACTGCCAGTGTTCTTCATAATCGTCAAGTGGATCGGAGGGTTCACACGTTTTTATAAAACACCTTTTACATAAACGGTACGTACTAGTGATACCTATAATATGCTCGTAGTATTCAAAAAATACATGGCCTTTATCTGAATACGATGGCCAAAACTCAGGGTGAACCCTACTGTGATGATGAGTCAACATAAGAAATTCATACTTCTCTAGTTGGTTGAAATTCAAGTATCGGTATTGAAATTGACTGCGACTAAATGGAAGACAATACCTGTGGGACATCCAAATGTGTTTGAGTCTCTTACAAACATCGCGTTTTATTGAGTTTGGCAGTATCGATAGTATTTCTAATTCATCGAGACTATCTATATTATTTATACTATCTATGGCTAGACGAGTCGACGTAAGAGTTAAATCATATAAAGTCATTGTCGTTGTTTTCATTGCTGTCCTCCTCAGCAGTAGGTTCTTCCGCGATCGTCCTAAGTTTATAATGCCCGTAGGGAAGCGTGTTGATTCGGTCATTAGTAATTACTCTCTTGTTGTCTGAAGCGGACAGAGATCGTTTAACAACTGTTTTCGTTGTAATCCTGAATAGCCGGCTTTGGATTAGATTGAATTCGGCTTTTTCCGGTTCAAATCCTTCGAACAATGTTCTTTTATAGTCTTCAAACGATAGGTATCGTTTCACGTAGGATGATTTTATACCCTTTGCTTTTTTAGAAGTGAACTCTATTTCACTTTCATCCGACCCGTAGCGATAAATGTACATTTTAGAACGTAGACCGACGTACTCTTGAATTTGTTTTCCTAAACCCGATTCGTCTTTGAAACAACCGATTTTACCTTTGTTTGTGTCGTCTTTGAGCGGATGTCCTACAGGATATACTGACATATCCAGGTATGCAGCAAGTGTGGGCTGTTTTAATACTTGGAAAAGATCGCCATCAGTGGTCAAGTGCAGCAGATAACTATCTGTGTCTGTGTACTGCAGCCTTAACTCTTTGTCTGTAAAGTGGTTACAAAGTACGTCGTAGTAGAACTGATACATGTGTACTTTGGACAAGTCAAGCACATACATTCCCGCATAGATAGGAGCGTTGAGGATCACCGTTTTTCTTTGCATGTACACAAGTACGATGTTTTGGTCGATTATAACATGTTCCACGAATTGAGGGTTCCGAATAAGCTTTTGCAATGTACTGTCTTTAGTTACAATTCTGACGTCGCGGTGGTTACGCTTGTTATTAAGCAACTTCCGTAGTTCGCATTATTCATCAATTTGAATATGCTTTTGTAGAACTCGTTTGTCGACTTGGCTCTCATTTCCGCGTTAAAGTCTACAAACTTTTTCATAAAGGGTGATTGTGAAAACGAGATTGCTCTGTGGACCTTTGTTACAATCAATCCCAGTTTAACGGCCTGTTGAAACACAGAATAATGAGCTACATATTTCGTTTTATCTTTTAGTGTCGCAAGCAGCTTTTTGTCCTTACTTCCCGGGGGTGCTTCTAGCTCAGGCAATGGCGGAAGGTACTGCAAACGATCGTGAACATTATCAGGGACTTTAATATCACACTCTAGTATGTATCCGGTTGGGTTATCCGAAGGGACACTGGACCAGTCTAGGTTTTCGGGTGACTCTACAAACTGAAAGTGTCCAGTTGGAAGGTATTTGCTTTGGGATGCGCCATATAAGTTTATGGCATCAAGCATAAGAAGCCAGCTCTGCTTTTCATTGGGATCGTAGTCAGCAGTATTGATTAAATGAGGGTTGTTTGCTTTGGCATAGCGGGTCACACATTGGACTAACCCACCTCGTATGCCACTTTCAATCATCAGTAACATATCAGGATCGGTAAGTAACTCAAGGGTTACACGTGCCATACGCAGCATCGCTTTGTAGGCAAGTCCAGGTGCGGTGTACATATGACAACAGTCGATCTTGTACGCTTCCAAACACGTTTTCCTAAATGATGTCAGAACGTCTGCAAGAAGGCAGACGTCAAGTTTCAAGTAAAAATCATGGAAATCTCCAAAGGTTTCCATTTTTAATTTTTCCCAAACTTCCATCGCAAATGTGTAATCTTCCACTGAACACGGTTCGTTATTGAGTTTGTCATAAAATGCATCACGGTTTGGTAAGCTTGTTTCATCAAATACTTTTGCTGACGTTACATAACTATAAGGATAAACCCCTTTACGTCGGATGAGATTTAAATGTTCAGTGGGTACGAGTTTCGACGATTCTACGAGTTCATTTTCTGACAAGGTGTCGGCCAGTTTTGCCAGACTCAAAGACATCAGTCTAAAGGAATCAAGGAAGCGCAGCCACATACGACCCACTCGGACTGATATCGATATGTACTTATCGTTTGTACAAGGGATAACCTTTACTTCACAGTCTGGGACTGATGATAAGCTTTTTATGATAAAATTACCATCGTAATTCGACATGTTGTGACAATACACCGGGATGTAGTTTATGGTAGAGCTACGTAAATTGCATTTACTGCAGATCACGTGTCTCATGTTACCCGATATATGACAGTGGTCTAAGACCCTGACACAGGTGCTGTCATTGAAAGCACGATCACACAGCTCGCAAGCCATGGTTGATTCGAAGCGCTCCGTCTCTTGAGCTGTTAGTGGTTTGACCGGTTCGAAACGCGTATAAAGTTGTTCGACACTCGCTGCAATTTGTTGCATATGAAACATAAACGACTGAGCAGCATTGGGACTACGGTGTACCTGCGGCTCCGTACTGATTCCTACTTCGTGCAATTTCTCGTCAGGTAGTGTTGACTTTACTAAGGTAGCATAGGAATTGGGTTCGTGACATTCGAATGAACGATCAGAGCCTAATATTGGTACAAGAGTAGCTTCAAAGTCGGCAATAACAATGACCGGCACCGGGATTTGATGTTCAAACTCCTCGTATTTTAATAGGTTTTCACCTTCCTTTGGTAGGCGAGTGTTTGCGAGTTTAAATTTTTTACAAAGTCGTAGGTGCTCTTCGAGCCATGACTTTGGATCCGGTTTACATTTTCGAACCTCACAGTGCGTCGAACACCGTTTGCAAATTACGATCTGATTGTGTCCGGCAGCCACTTGTGGACGTATCAGTTTGGAAAAATTAGATATATAAACATAGTGAGCGTTTTCGGCTGACTCGCGATACAATAATAAATCTATGTGGTCCTGTTTCTCATCAACTACCCGTAGTGGTGTTATATCACAGCCTGGAGCTGTTTCGAAAACATTTACCGAGGTATTGGGATTATTCAATTCAAACTTTGCGATTGACGACACTGTCACAGGAAATTTCATTCCCTCAAAGTTGTATACGTGCTCATAGTCAACGAACGATTCTTCAGTCAAGACTGAATTTACATCTACGTTCGGGAGGTGTTTCACTAGTACACTATATTTAAAACATTTAGAGTCTGTATTACGAACATTTATTGTGGCTTTCCTTTGTGTTATACGTTTTGGCAGTACTGTGTATGCTTTCCCAGTGGGTTTCTTAAAAGTAAACCTACTTACTCTAAGCGTTAGCGTTGACGGATGGTCCAGTGTCCATCCAGACCCCTTCCCTTCGAATTCAGACTCCTCGGTGAGTAGCTTGGCACCGTCTTGGGCGAGAATGTCTTGGAGATCATCGCTGCCGCCGTAGACTGTCCTGGTAGATGTTTTGAAGTTGAATTCTTCTTGCGTTCCTTCATGTTGATGGTTGAAGACTGACAACACCACCATGTTGTATTTAAGACTGGGCGATGTTTTAAACTCTTCTCGAAGCAGTTTCTCAGCAACCGGAAGTGCAACACTCAGGAACGCTTTCGTGTCACGGTAGTAAGCGTTGGGATTGTCAATGATAAAATCCCGACAACTTAGTAGACCTCTTTTCATGTACCATTTTAATCGAGGTGGTGTTCCAGACTGCTGTGATGTGGTGGCGCTCTGTCGAGTCGTATGTAGTTGGACGTTTGTAGACGTTTCTGGAGTTTGTAGTCGAGAGGTTGGAGGCACAGCTGCAGACTCCTCGAATCTCTCAGCAAGTGGTGGGCTGCTGTTCCGTAGCTTCTTTCCTCTAGAAGACGGATGAGCAACGTCCTCATCAGAAGACGATGTAGATAGAGTATGTTTCCTACCCTTGCTGAATTTTTTTGAATACACTTTAGTAGCAAGACACATTTGCTGGTGTCTCGCCAACGCTTTCACTGATATAAAATATGCTTCATGACAAATGGAACATTCTATAAACTCCATCATAAAAGAACATTTAACACACCGAGTCACACACACAAACACCGAGCACACAGATGTTACTACTACTCTGAGCACTGAGCGAATGAGTGCTGATCACAGAGTGCTGAGGGTATTTATGTCGGGGGTGTACCCTTGACACATGGGCGTCCTTAACCTGAATCTTACATTGTCATTGACCCATTTTAAGGGTTGTCCTCAACCCCCTTTTGTGTCCTCGACCTATTAGTGGATCAACTTCCTAGACCTCGAAGTGTGCATATAAACACGTTGAGGATTACTGGAGTACTCATTCTACTCTTGGTACTCGTACTCAACGAACCTTCCACACGCTGGTGAGTAGCAGTTGTTTGTCTCTCTTGATTACTAATTACTACTTTATTTCAGCTCTATTTTTTAAAAAAGGTTTTCGTAAGAATTAACGATAGTTGTTTATGAACTGCCACAGTCTTTTGCAAATTGTGCTGGCAGTTGTAAAAGGCATTTTTCCAATTACTGCCTACAGTTTTTATCATGTTTACTGCGCGGCTCGGTTTTATTTGTAGGTTTTAGCGTGGTTTTGTGTATACATACGTTTTTTATAAACAAAAGCTGAAGCGTATACGGGTTTTGTGAGTTTGACCATTTTATGATGCATGCTAAACTTTATTTGGTTTACAGACCTCTTGTTTTCTGGTTTCTAGTTACACTACACTACTTTTGGGTTGTAAAAGTAACAATAACAGTAAACAGCAGTACATTTATATTTATTTGAATAAATCGATTATCTCATCATCATCCAATGAGCTGTACCCCGACGATGAAAGTGTTGATATCATTTGATCCAACTCCTCTGGCAGTTCATTATCATCATCATCATCATCATCATCAGATATGATGATCGGTGATGATGGTGCAGGTCGTATGTCTTGTGGTGGTGCTGTAGAGGTTGACGGCTCAGACGTGTCTGGGCGTGGCTGCAGCGGGGGGGAATTGAGTATGGAGCAGAGCGTCAAACATTGTTTTTTTACAGGCGGGCCCTGTCCCTCTGTCGGTCTCTTTCCCCCACGGTATCGAACCAGTGATTCGTGGCGCATAGCCGCCGCCATTCTTCCAGCTGTAACAGATTGTTTAGTTTAGAGTACAGTTTGTCAAATCAGCGTTTTACTGTGGATATTGGTGTGTCTTGGTTTACAAATGTTGTATGAGTTTTAACTATAACATTGACAAAATAGTTTATCTGGTTTACAAAGAATATTACCGTTCACTGCCTAGTTGTATTTTTAACATCAAATACTTTGTGGTTTTGGCTGGAGTTTTGACAGTCGGTGGAAAAATAGTAGTTACGCCTTGATCAGATTTATTATTACTGTCATTCGTCTAGCAAGTTTACTGTAGTGATGGATCGTAGGCTGTATTGGTTTCTTAGGAAGGTTGTTATTTTCTCATATTTACTTTCACTACGTTTGTTAATCTTCAACTGCTCAAGTGTTATTCGGACAATACTACAATAGTATATTTCATAGCTAGGGCCAAAAATTAGGTTTTACCAGCTCGAGATATTTTTAAGTTTGAGACGAAGTCAGGAAGGAAGGTTGTTATTTTCTCATATTTACTTTGACTACGTTTGTTAATCTTCGACTGCTCAAGTGTTATTCGGACAATACTACAATAGTATATTTCATAGCTAGCGCCAAAAATTAGGTTTTACCAGCTCGAGATATTTTTAAGTTTGAGACGAAGTCGGGAAATCGATCGAGTGCTACAAAACCATTTCGGTCCGTGGTACGAACGCTATTTTTCACCACACCCTATTACCACTTTTCACGACTATAGTCAACACAACTACAACTTGTTATGTTAAGAAATAATTTCAGGAATCAGCAAAAATAAAAATTGTTACTAGGCAACGGTGATAATAACACAATTCTATTGCAATGCTATGGATTTTGATTGTATAAAATGCATTCGTGTTTTAAGTAAGAGGACAGCTGATTTTGCCACCCTATAAAAACCTGCTTGGTCCCCAAATTACGATGACAGCTGGCTAGCAAAACGTAACTTTCAGCCCGTATGTAATACAGCCAAAAACATAGTGTGGTGAAATCTCAATTTAGCGTACTAGATAAATAAACCCCGGTCTCCAAACACAAAACAGCGGCAAGTGACACGATCGCAGCACTAACAGGATTATATGTTTCAGAACCATGTCTGCTGATCTCCGTACAAAACTGAACAAGCTAGTGGTTGTCGAGGGACCCTCTAGAATCGCAATGACCGAACTTACAAACCCTGCTGGCTACACAATTACAGCGGCACGATTACACAGCCACGCACAGTACGGGATTAGCGTTATTCTAGAGGTATTAGTGGACAACATAGTGAGGATGGTGTTTCTTCCAAAACGGTTCGGACAAACTCTGTCCCAATCGGATGTAGATACGCTGGCTAACGGGACATACAAAGTTAAATGTACCGGCATCACCAACCGCTCTCCAAATGTTGTAATATTTCAATGAGAAAATATAGACACATATTAACAGACATTTGTTATTATTCCACTACCTTATTTACCTGGTGAATAGCTGGTGACGTCTTCTACCACTTCGTACGTCTTTGAAGGTACAACATCGAAGTGGCGTCGAAGCTTCGCCAGAGCTTCCCTCCCCTCGGCGATGGACTCGAACTCAAACAAGACGTTGAAGATCATGTTTCAAACTGATGTTAAGTTTGGAGTACTTAGTCTTTATACTATCGGCTCCACTCACCGGCCATAACCCGAATTGCAGTTTTCGGTTACCTTGAACTGCACACACCTTGGACTAATAACCGCATTGCAGCTGCACTTGACATTACACAACGGATCCGCTAACCCACTGACTACACAAGGTCGCCGCACCGGTTCGCGCCCACTGCAATATCCTAATATCACATTAGCCAAAGAAACCGCTGGGCACAGCGAGTATAGCCACCAACTCGGACAACGCCCAAACACCGCTCAACAACAAACTATAGTAGTAGTAGTTAAGGTAGAGGATATATATACTACTTGATCTGATGCAGTAACCCCTGCTTTCCATAGGAAAGAATCCTGTTATAGTTAGTAATGCGGGAAATTGATGCAAGAATTACTATATCTTATATAGTATTGTATTTAAATTCGGTTACATTAGTACACTAAATGTTTGCAAGCAATGCTTTTTAGCCTTATAACGTGTTGAACATTTGTTTACAATGGATTAAACTACCAAATATCATTGATATTACTGAGCTATTTAGCCCCCTACTAGTAAAGTTAAAAAGTTTGAAAGATGCGTGTATTAAAAATAAATGCTTGGTTTAATATTTTCATATTTTTCCATTGGATTTTTTTTATTGCCAATTAAAAAAGTCAGGCAACATAAATTTAATTTCACTGTTTTCGCTTAGCCATATCCAACAATTTCCTTGCATATGCTAAAGTATAAAAGCGGAAGTTTGTAGGCTGCGTCAACGTATTTTATTAATTAAAACTTTAACTGGATAGTGTAGTAAAAAATGAGTAATACAGGACAAACAGTCCAGCGATCTCTTACGTCAAGTAAGACTCATCACAAAATCGAGAAACAATATAGGCCTACTAATTATTATTTTTATGTATACAAATGTTAGGTATTTTTTTAATTTAGCTGTACAGGTAAAAATAGAAAGCTTTATTGGTAAAACATGTTTTGATGTCTTTTGACGTGAGTAAATGAGTTTATGTTTTTGATTGATTTATCGACATATTTTTGGTAAGTTAATCGGAACAGGTTCTGGAGGTTTCGGGGATATATTTTCTATGCATAATCGTTATTACTGAACTACTATAAAAAATGGTGAGAGGAAATAAGAACGCAGTAAGTAAGTTATCATAGTTATTCGTGTAACTAGTGGGCTAAATGGCACTTCGCTGCACACGAGAGAAATGTTTACGCACGAGCCGTAGACGGGTGTGGAATGTTTCTCAAGTACAGCATAGGAAATGTGCACTTGTGTTACACATTATATTTTTCCTACAGATATTACAAAGCATAGAAATAATTAGTCTTCCAAACACTAAAACACGTTTTTGGTTAGGTTAAATCCAAGCGTCGAGTGAAATGGGAAACACTACATCAGGTTGCCAACCTATTTCCAAGCGTACACGGATTGCGTGTGTAAAAGGACGCTGATTTTTGTTGTTTGGTTGGAATACTAGCGCGCGACAAAAATAAAAACTGTTCGGCAAAGTAAACAGTGTGCGGTAAAATAAGTCTTACTGTTCTATAATCAGTACAAGGAAGCCCACTTTGTCGGGTGACATGAAGGAAAAGATTATTTAACAGTAAGGTAAGTGTACTATTTTAACTAATATTCCTGGATATAACAATTTTTTGTCATACGAATTGCAACCCAGTATATACATGTGTAAATTGTTCGTCAAATTGTATTGATAAGTAATATGGTTAATATTTTTAAACTTATATTTTGAAGATACGTTAGATTTGAAAAGATTTATTCAGGGGGGAGATTTTTCACAAATTTTCAACTGCCCGATAATCACTATAATCGGTTAAACATGTATAAGGTAATACGTGACACACTGCCAAACTCTTATATAATTAAGATAAAGGGGGAAAACACAATCTACGTGACTCAAAACCACAATCTGGAATCATTAAGTAAGAGGAGGTAAATCAGCTGTACGCTGGATAATCCACCATAAGGCTAGAGGGAGAAAATACATTCACCTCTTTTAAACTCAGCCATATCCTGCATACAGTTCATAATTAACTATCTAAACATTACTTTTTTATACGTTTTTATTAGCTCGCTTTCTTACAAATTTTGATATCAATTTTAAACAGTTCCTGATGACCTAGAGACTTAAAACTTGGAACCTAGCTCACAAATGGATGACAATGCAATATTATATCATTTAATTTTCATATCTCCCTTGGGCTACGCCCCATGGGCTTCCAAATTTTCCATGTTTACATTTTGAAAGAATGTAAAAATATCAA